GCTTCCTCTTCCTCTCTCGCTTGCCTTTCTTCCTCTCGTCAGCCCGTGGCAAATACCAGCCTGCCACCTTCCTATCCTCGATCCTCGGCTGTTGCCCTCGCCGCCTCTCTGCAACTCCCCCACTCTGCCATAACTGCATTCACCCTCCCTGCCAGCATAGCATGCGATTGCTGCTAGTCGCGTCCTTCCTCCCCTTCCTTCTCGCTTCCGTCATTGAACTCAACTTTGAGAACTCTTGGACTGTGTCTGACACTGAGCTCGCAGACCTCCTTGTCCGTGTGAGCTCGGCCAGTAGCCTGCGATCCGTCGGCCACGATGGAGGTGAAGAACAACATGGTGCAGATGAAAGTCATGGAGGAAATAGCAAGGATGTAAGCTCCCTGGTGGCAAGCCTTCCGAGGTTGAGACTTGTGGCAGGGTGGTGCGCGCGTTCTACGATGAAGAGACGGTGATCGTGATGGACGTCGTCATGTTCATGACGAAGCAGTCGGGGTACCCCGGAGGGGAGGCCGAGGAGTAGCAGGTGGTGCTGACCGGCGCGGCAGGTCGAGTGTCAGGGACGAGGATGTAGCGGCAGAGGCGAAGTTGCAGCACAAGTCGGTAGGCAGCAGCACGCAGCGGCGCGAGCTGTGCCATGACCTGAACGGTGTGCAGGTGAGAAGGGTCCTGAGCAAGCTGGAGAAGAACTACCTGGTGAAGAGGTAGGGGGAGCAAGTGAGTCAGGTCCTACCGCTGACGAGGGTCGGCAGCTTCACTAGGAAGGAGACGAGGGGAGGAAAGGAGATGATGCAGCAGTACTGGAGGATCGACTACAAGATGCTGATCGACGCGATCAAGCTCCGAATCCACAGGATGAAGAAAGCTCTGCACGTGATGCCGGTCGAGGCGATCACCAAGTACATGTGCAACAACTGCACCGACGACGACGGGAATCATCCGTGCTGGGACGAGCACGACGTCCAGCAGCTTCAGTTTGGCATCGAGTGCTTCGAAGTGAGGCGATCCTCCTCCTCTTGACCGCCCGCTGCTCTCCTGCTGCTGAAGTTGCTGCTGAAGTTGCTGCTGCTGCTCCTGCTGCTCCTGCTGCTCCTGCTGCTCCTGCTGCTCCTGCTCCTGCGCTCCTGCTGCTCTTGCTCCTGCTTGCTGCTACTGTTTCTGCTGCTGCTGCTGCTGCTGACGTTGCTGCTGCTCGTCCATTGCGATGCTGCTCTGCTCTCAGTGTCCGTACTGCGAGAACGATCTGGAAGAGCAGGTACTGTAACTGCATCCCACCCCCATCCCTTCCTCCCGTCTCCCCCTTTTCTCCCTCCCTCGTCCTCCTTCCGTCGTTCTTGTCGTCCTCCCTATTCCCCCGTCCTCCTCCATCGCTTTCCATGTTGATCCCTTCCTAGTCCTCTACATTTTCTTCCTCCCCATCCTCGTCCCTTCCTACCTCCCCCTTTCTCATCCTCCCTGCCCTCCCTCCTCTCACCGCGTGCAGGTTGAGAAGAGCAACGATCATGGCGGTAGGGATCAGGGCGATCGCGCGAGCTTTCCTCTTCGCTGAGATGCATCGACAAACAGGTCAGGCGGACATCCACCAGAGGATGCAGAAGCAGCTGTCACGACTTATAGATGCTCTCAAGAAGTCAGAGGAGGTTCACAACACTTGCTAATGCTCCTCCTGCCCCTCCTCCTCCTCCTCCTCCTATTGCTCCTTCTCCTTCTCCTTCTCCTTCTCCTTCTCCTGTCAGCCTCTAGGTTAACTCGTGCGGCAGGTTATTCTCCCTCCCCCTCGCTCGGAAGTCAGCTTCATCCCCACCAAGTCTGTCTCCATCCTCCATCCGCTGCGTCCTGAAGCTCTCCGCAGGAAAGAGGCGCGGGAGGGCGGGGGATACGGTCATCATGCCGCCATCGAGAAGGAGGTCAACACCCGACATCTCTTGCTGCCAACCTTTCCGAGCTGCTGCACCTGCCTGCTCCTCCTGCTCCTCCTGCTCCTCCTGCTCCTGCTCCTGCTCCTGCTCCTGCTGCTCCTGCTCCTGCTCCTTCTATTTCTCCTGCTACTCCTCGTTTTCGTCATCTGCAGCATCATACTTCTGTTTCTCCTCCTGCTCCTGCTCCTCCTACCTCGCCTTCCCTTTTCCAGCTTCAGCTGCTTATCATGTCCGTTTGAACGATGTTGCAGACCGTTACGACGCGCAAGATTCTTCTCTCCATCGAGGAGTCTGGTGCCTCCACCCAGCAGGTGGCCGAGCAGAAGCCGGTGGTACCTGGTATAAGAGTCTTTCTTGTCACTCTTATTATGACATTATTTTTCCTCCTCCTTCTCCTCCTCCTCCTCCTTCTCCTCCTCCTCCTCCTCCTCTTCCTCTTCCTACTCCTGCCCCTCCTCCTCCTCCTCCTCCTCCTCCTCGTCGTCGTCGTCGTCGTCGTCGTCGTCGTCTTCGTCGTCATCATCATCATCCCTCCTCCTCTCACTCTCCTCCCCTTACTGTCCTCCCCATACTCTCCTCGTTTTCTTCTTCCGCATCCGTCTCCACCACCTCTTCCTCGTCTTCTACCTCTTCCTCTTCCATTTCTTCGTCTTCATCTTCAACCTCACTCCCACTCGTCCTCTTTCCACTCTCTCTCCCTCCTCTCCCCTACCTTCTCTCTTGGTACAGCCTCCTCTAGCTCCAGCCAAGGTCTCGGCTCCTTCATGGCCCTGCAGACAAACCACAACCAACAGGTAGGAGTGGAGCGATCATGTGACGTGACTGATCCGTCCTGGTCATCAGGAGCAGGCGAAGAGTATGTCATCCTCCTCCTCTCCCTCCTCCGTGTCTCCCCCATCTTTCCTTTCCTTCCTTCCCGTCCTCCCTACTTCCCTCTGTCTCTCCCGCTCCCTGATTCCTCTCCCTCCTCCGCCGTCTATCTTCTTGCCTCCTCCGTTTTCCTCTCCTCTCCATCCTTCCTCCTCCTCCTCCTCCTCCTCCTCCTCCTCCTCCTCCTCCTCCTCACAGTCACCTCAGAGCCCCCACCCCCTCCCATCTCCGAGCCACCGAATCTCGCAATGCCGGAGGATCCGGCTGCTTCAGATTTCTTGCGACAGTACATGGAGCAGTGCCAGAAGGACCAGGAGGTGAAGCACTTCCTGCTTGTCCTCGCTGCTCCTGCTCCTGCTCCTGCTCCTGCTCCTGCTTCCTGCTCCTACTCCTGCTCCTGCTCCTGCTCCTGCTCCTGCTCCTGCTCCTGCTCCTGCTCCTGCTCCTGCACCTGCTCCCTCCTTCCTTCCCTTCTCACAGTTCTCATTTCTCGATTTCAATCTGATTTGCACGTCCATGACGCAGAGACTCGCGCGGGAGGAGGCGATGGAGACAGAGGAAGTGGAGAAGGAGGACGAAATGGAGATGGAAGACGAGGTAAGAATGCTCCCTCCCTCCCTCCCTCCCTCTCTCCCTGCTCCTGACCAGTATCAACGCAGGAGGAAGAGTTCGAGGAAGTAGAGGTCCCTTGCTGCTCGTCGCTCTCCCCGGAGAATCTCATGCTTTTGCAGGAGATCGTGTACGTGGAGGGTGAGGCGATTCCGCTGAGCCAGGTGACGGAGGAGCACGAAATGAAGATGTCCAAGGAAGAGTACGAGGTCAGTGCAGATGCAACAGGCGTTGTGGGGGGAAGGGGGAGGAGGAGGAGGAGGAGGAGGATGAGGATGATGAGGAGGAGGACGT